TGTTTGTTCTGATGGAGAAGGCTGTAAAATGTGTGAAACAAAATGGCTGCCTACAGGTATTATGAGACTAGATTAGTAAATGTCAGTAATAAACTACTGTATTTTGCATTCTTCCCAAAAGGACTTTCGTGGCTTGCTAAGTTGTTTTTGGTGAAAAATAAAAGGTAGTGGGAAAGCATTTTCACATATATTCAATATATCCAAAGATTTACTTAGTTTTTACTAGAAGCCAGGTAAGGCTTGGGGCACAAGGATGCCTTTCTTGAGCCATAATATCAGTTCTTCTGTTACTGATAAGGAAGCTGTCTGCATGAAAAAATGTCAAACGGAGAGGGTTCTACTACCATATAAAATAGTCACTTGAAGTGTAAATGTCAGTACAGAGAATTGTGATTAAACAGGGCTGGAAGAATGCCTAGATTGAAAGCCTAAAAGCCTTTACGTTTATTCCTAACATAATCACAGTTTATTCATTTTAATTTGCTCAAGTTCAATGTTTTTAAGACAAGTACAGGACAAGTACAGGTTAAGACAAAACCGTAGATTTTAAACATGTATACTTTTGGACACTCTATGATACTGAGATGCCCAATCACAAGGTATAGCCTAGACTTGCTCTCACTATAACCATGCAGAGAATACAAAGAAAAATCTAAAACACTGCTAACATATTCTTTAAAACTAAATTAATTTACTCAACACATGACAATTCTAATTAAAAGACCAACATCTTAACTTGAGTATAGCCCCAAATGACTAAAAATAATAAAGTATTCTTAGGAGATTTAAACTTATGCTGCAAATTGAACTGCTAGGAAACTAATTGTTGGTATCCAATTCAAGGCTATTGAAATAGCAAAGCATGTAGTTTATGACAGATAGTAAGTTCTTTCCTTTTGCTACTAGTTACTAACCAGTCTTCAGATCGCATTGAGTAATCAGTAATTCTGTTGCCCCTTCTCAGGTTCATAATTAATTCTGGCCCTGGATTGTAATCGGTAATGTATTCTGCCTTAATTTGGGTAGATAATGTCAGGTAATGGTTCATGGTATGGGAAATGGAAAGACTGCAGTCATTTCTTTACATTCTACTTTACAGATGAATTAAAGCATGTCCCAATAATTGATAGAATTTAAACAAAAGGTTTTCTTAAATGAGGATGATATGGATCATCAAAATCCAACATGAAATTAAATGAAATGATCTAATGACATATGTAAATGATACTTCTCTGAAGAAAAGGCCATGAAATAATGACAGATCACTGAGATATGAGCAACCAAATCCACTGTGAGAAGTAGCTGGCTGGCTAAACACACCAAGTAAACAGCTCCAAGCTCCAGCAGGGTGACAAATACTTATAAGCATAGCACTTAAGGGGCTGAGGCAGGATGCAGCCCAGGCAGGCAACATATTGACAAACTGTTTCAAAAATCAAATTTCACCTCTACCCGAACTTTAGGTAGTTATATACAGTATATATCAACTTTACATGGTATGTGTACATTATATGTCAGATGCAGTGGGTAACTGTGTTATAGACATACACCAATTTCACAGGGCTATTTTTCCTTTTTTTCTTTGTACTTTTTGCTACTTAAAATAAATCCATATAATTATGGATAGTTCTATAATGGGTCATACTCAAGTGCTCTGGAGCTGCTTTAGAAACACAGATACGAATTTTAACCTCCTCTAGCTTGACTTTAACATATTTGCAGAGAATTTTCATCATCTCAAACAGTCTTCTACAAATAAGTAAATTTAATCTTTTGAAATTCACATTGTTTCATTGTTGTGCCTGCTCTGGGAACTTGTTTTCAAACAAATGTGCTTTTATTTTGTATATTTTTTTCTTGTATAGCCTTGTACTAATTTAAAAAAAACTACAGTTTTACAAACAGCTATTAAACTTCTGATAGAAACAATGTTCAAACTGGGATCGACTTGAAAGTCTTCTTCCTTTGCCCTGTCTTTCCCAGTACCAGGGGGTTCCATAAAACTTTCTGTGGAAAAACAATCTATATTCCTGCCCATTGTGATACCTACAAACAACAAGATCTAGATAAACAGAATACTGTCAAGTATACAATAATGACACTCACATCTTGGCAGTTACCAACTGCTGTCTAGTTGATCTTAAGGCCCACTCAACAAGAGGGAAATCATGCCTGGTACTGAAAGCCTAGCCAACTACCCAGGATATTGAGGTCATCCTGGGTCCTTGAGAGAAACCTACTATTGCCAAAGACTAGCACGATTACTAACTATGTTATAAAACTTAACTTGATATGTGCTAAGTTATAAAACTTACCATAGATATGGTCTCTCAGAAGCTTCTTTTTGCAGCATGCAGCGATCATTAGAGAAATTCACAACTGGTTGAAATCAGAGATCAACTGATTACATGGTACCCAGACCCAGTAGATACATCCACAGGACAACTCTTGTACTAAAGACTAAGGATGGCAGTGAAATGAATCTAATGCTTAGAACATGTCAGAGGATTATCATCCATCATTTCATTTCTCTTTGATACAAACTTTTATTAAAATGGAAGTTGTCAGTGCCGAGAGGATTTGCATAAGGATTTGATGTTTTTAAAACACCCCTTCACAAGCAAATGGAATTTTAATGTTCAAAATAACTTCTAATAATTCCATAAAATAATAACTCGCATTTAACTTTCAGCGTGTCAAAATATAATATCCTTCTAACTATGTGTCTTTCAAGGCACATCTGAAAACAATGTTGTTTTGTTTTCAGGATCAGATAGCATTAAAACTTCCACAAATTCAAGTGAGAGGAAGAGGTTAGTTCATTGGGATTACTAAAACCCACAGAAAGCACTGTGAAGGAAGAGGCTAAGAAAGACTCCAAGAAGAAATTACATTATACAGTACCTTTGAATCATTTCAAATTTAACATATTTTAAGTGTCATTAAATATTCTTTTTTGATTTAAGAACTTTGTAAATGACAGATAGTTTCTGAAGAACAAGTTAGCAGCTTCCCTGAGTATCTTCCCATAACTGTCAATTGTTCTATTACCCCATCCAAGTAAACAAAATGGACACCATTGTAAATTGTGAGCTGTATGTCTTGGTGTGAAGATAAAATTATGGGATTGTAAGATTTAAATTTAACCATGATGCCTTTATTTTCATTAAGGCCAATTCAATATGTTTTGTCTTCAAGGTTTCATGTTTTACTCCTGGACAAAATATATTTTTTAAAAATTCTTTTCTTGTCCTTTCCCCTACTTTCCCAGTTTCCTCCCTTCCTTCCCACACTCTTTCCATCCCACCCCTCCTTTTCCTTCTTATGTAAGTCATTATTTCTCCCCAGGAACAGTGTCTGTTTTCTCTGGCCCTAGTCTCCTGTACCGGAGTAATATGTACTTATGTATTTGTGTGTGATCACATTTTGAACCAGGTAGACCATCTGCATATATACCATCCTTTCTTTATTGGTCTGATATTGGGTTTTTCGTAAATCTTTTGTATAAGAAACTTTTCTATGCATCCTGTATTTTGGTTTTCACAAGGGCAGAATTGGTATAGTCTCATACATCTTCTTATACTTAAGTTAAATGAAAAGTTTCTTTTTTTAATTCATTTTTACTTTTCCAGATTTTTGACACAAACCCTTATTATTGGAGAACGCACAATATTCGTACTTCAGTTTCTTGAGTAATAGTTTTCAGGCACATACAATCAATGTTCATAACAGATGCCTTATTTTCCCACTAATCCTTATTTTCATATTTTTCTCTCTCTACGTTTAGGTGTGCAGACAAAAACAGAGATTAAGAGAAGCACACACATTCATACATAAAATTTTGGTGCAGATGAAACATCATAAACAGAGAAAAGACATCTAGAAAAGTAAACAAGACTCCCAAGAGAAGGTTATCCTCACTACACAGGTAGAAAGCCTGAAGAAATGATTACTAGGACTTAGGAGGGGAAAGAGCAGAAGTAACCCAGTTTCAATTTAATCTCCAGTAGCCTAAGTAGCCATTATATCATTAAACAAAGCATAAGCATTCAAAAAGGTCCATCTTCAGCCATCAGACATCACATGTAACTTTGTTCCCTTTTCATACATTGATATGATACATTTTGACCAAATTCCTCCCATCCCCTCCATTGCTATTCCTCTCTTGCACCTTCTCTGTTACTTTTCACTCCCATTTCTGTGCATAATCTCTGTTTTTAAAACTAAATCCGCTTAGTGTTGCTTATATATGCATGGCTACGGAACAATTTATAGATAGCCTTTTAGCATCTATATGCTTCAGAACTGTCTCTCAGTCACTTAGCAACCATCAATTGCTATAGCTCTTCAGTTGGGGCTTGGACTTCATGGTCTCATGCCCGTCTGTACTGTCAGTTGATCTGGTGTGATCCAAAGTTCTATGCCTGCAGTTACAGCTGACAGTAGTTCACAAGTGCAGTGGTGTTGTCATGTCCAACAAATTTTCATTTCACACAATGATGACCTCTGACTCTTATAATCTTCCTATGACTCTTTCACGACAACCACGGAGGCTTGGGAGTAAAGGTTTGATAGAACCATGTAGAGCTGATCATGTCACTGTCTCTTAATTTTTGTACCTTGACTAATTGTGGAACTCTGTATTAATTACCATCTACTTCCAAAAGAAATGTCTCTGATAAGGGTTGAGAGTTGCACTAATCTGTGGGTATGGTTAAAGGCACTTATCAACAAGTTAGATGACTTAAGTTCAATCCCCAGATCCCATATATGCAGAGATTATGTCAGAAGATTTGCATACAAAATAAATAATTAAAAAATAAAAAGAAGGCAGAGAATTACCCTTGAATATGCTAAATTTTTCATAAAGGATACTACACAAATATGAATAGAATTCAAGTAGTCTGCAATATGTTACATGAAATATAAGAGTTTAACAAGTTTTAAGATGGTATTCACTTTCATCCCCAAAACACAACTAAAATAAACTCAATGTTTACCTCATATGTTTAAAAATCCATAGAACATCTTAGAAGCACCAAGAGCTCATGATGCTGTCTTCCTGTGTCACTCTTCAATTCCTATAAATAAAAGGAAGCAAAGAATGTTCAGAGCAATGTATGACTTTGTACACTGATGGTGATTAGCCATTAAATTTTATTATCACTCAACACTGCCATTAAAAAGTGCTTCCCTGTGTATTGCTGTTATTATAGCTTTTGTTAAATTGTGCAATATAGCAATGGAAATTATGTCTGTCTGGGACTTCCAAGACACTCAAATAGAGTCCAGATTATAAACTACTACAAAGAAAATCCACATTCAATTATGTGTTATTTTCTTAAGAGAGGGTGTTTTACTATGAAAACAAGCATTTGTAATTAAAGTGTTTTCTTACTCTACATACATTTCTGTATACATATTTTTCTAAATGAAGCAGAGGGCTTTTAATCCTTGTTTAGTCTTTAGAGTTGATTAATTTAAATAGATTTTTGTTAAGAATTTTAATTCATAGCCCACAATTTCTCTGTACAAAATACATAAGATATGAAAATAATAGCCATTGTTTTAGGAATTAATTAACTTTGTAATAGACACCTAGCACATCTACTACTCAGATAGATGGCTCATGTTCCCTTTATTTATGAATACCCTCTAGGGAATTATAGAATGTCAAGGTAGTGTAACTGATAAAATAAAATGGTAGACAGAAAACTTCAGCAAGACTACAAAAATAATTCAAATTTGGATTTTAATTTTCTATAGGAGCAATCATTTTAAAATACTTGCTTAAAGCAAATTAAAATGTGTATTAAGGCTTGGCAGTGGTGGTGCATGCCTTTAGTCCCAGCACTCAGGAGGCAGAGGCACGCAGATTTCTGTGGGTTCAAGACCAGCCTTGTCTACAAAGACACACAGAGAAACCCTGTCTCAAAAAACAAACAAACAAACAAAAAGAAAATTATTAAGATGTTGTTGCCCTGTGTTAATTTTGTGCCTCTACTCACAGAGAATTCCAGAAAGGTTCTCTGAGAGACATCATCTCAAAAAAATCAGGTGGATACCAGTAAGGAAAACACTCAACACTGCTCTCAGAAATTTACATGTGCAGTTGGATACTGGGGTGATGGCTTAATGAGTGGAATGTAATGTGCTTGCTGTCAAGCATGGGGAACTCAATTTGGATGACTATTCATCTAGGAATGATATGTACATAGCAACAGTTTCCCATAGTGTTATTGTATTCTACGTGATTTATATCAGCACAAAAACTGTAAGTTGGAGTTTGCATGTTCCAAAAAAAATTAAAACTTTAGTTTGTGATAACATTTAAGCATCACAGAGCTATGTGTGCTGGCATACAACTTTTATACCCAACACTGAGATGGCTTAGGTGAGATGTTTGTGAGTTTGAGGCAAACTTGTGGCATGCAATCAAATCTTGTTAAAAATAAATAAAAAATAAAATGAAAATATTTTATATTTAACTTCTTTATTGTAGAAGGGCTGTGTATTATATTTGCAATTTGCTGTCATGCTTTAACTTTTAGTAAGCAACCTGCTTAATTTTGAGACATTATTGTTTTGCAGTTATGAAAAAATAGATTATGGCAATAAAATACATAATATAAATGCAAAAGAATAAATAGATCATGGTCATTAAACAAAAGTTAAGTTAGCAACACATCAAGTTTATAAGAGAAATGAGGAAAACAGATGAGATATGTTGACAAGACTGAAACAAGTGTTGAGTGTTTGCAGGTTGGTTTCTAAATGGCATTTTAAGAGTCTCAACAGAAAAACACAGCTTTGGTTTCACTGGGCTGACAATAGAATGTGTAAGGAAACACATCCCAAATTATAATTCCCAATGCTGCATGATCTGCATTACAGGATAATGAGTAGGATGAGAAGCCCATTCAACAGGCAGTCCTTGGTCATGTTATACATGTGTTAGGTCTTTCCCACTAAAATGATTTCAGGAAAAAGTAGGACATTGGCGCAGTCAAATATACAGCTTCAGAACAAAGAAGAGGAAAAATATGAAAGTCCAGTTTCATAAGAATTGGTGGATATAGTTTAAATGAGTTGTTTCAAGAACAACAACAACAATAAACAGAAATAGGCCTTTAGAATTTAGATGGAAATAAACAATTCAAAGTAAGGAATAATATTTAGAGTACAAACAATTGTGATTTAGTAGTCAGAAAATATCTCTGAGACATATATAAAATGAAATATGTCCAAATACTTAGCAAGGCCAACAAAACCACACTTGAATTACTCCTTTACATAGGAAACTATGGACATCCAGTTTCATAATCACGGTCATGCTGCAGTGATTATGATAGAGTAACATTAAAGGGGAGTGAATTGTGGCTCTGCCAACCACTTCGAAGAATTAATAGTTTTTAAATTGTAAGCAACCCAGACTTAGTTACTATTCAAATGAAAAGACTCTACTCAGGAGTCTAGAGTTGTATATAATGAATTTATATAATCAAAACTATGTTTTACTTTTTGATATACAATGTGTAAAATAATAATTATAGATAAGCAAAATGTCACATTACTCAAAATGTAGTGAATTAATCTCTTAGGTTTATGAGACTAGCTTCAAGAAACTTTGAAAACAAATGAGAAAGAATGATCTCCCTTCTTGTTTAAAGGGGGAAACATATATTGCAAGTGAATGACCCTAGGAAAAGAGTCCAGTGTTTTTTAAATTTTCACCTGTACATTTACAACTGATTTGGCGGGATAAAATGCAATCTTCTTGCTTTGAAGGAGATGTCTTTAAAAAACAAAACAAAACAACACTATAAACCACTCTTCTTTTTTTCCACAAATAGATCTAAAGTTTCTCAGACTTTATTTCAAGATAGGAAAGCTGGAAGAATTTCATTTTTCATATCAAATGTCTACTCTGGTTTCTTCTATCTTAAGATGAGAATTACCTTAATATTGACATTTTCTTTGCCTTATTTATATTCTTGCACAGTAGTTTCGGGCATACGCAGGAAGAATAAAGTTTCAAAGTGCATGATGGCAAAAAAGTTGTGATCACTGCATTCCTGAGATAATGGAGGAAGGCTAACAGTGAGCAGTTATTCCTGGGATGATTGAGGAAGGATAACTGCAAGCAGGGCATTCACTGGATAATGGAGGAAGGCTAAGACTGAGCAGCACATTCACTGGATAATGGAGGAAGGCTAACAGAAAGCAGGGCATTCACTGGATAATGGAGGAAGGCTAACAGTGAGCAGGGCATTCATTGGATGATGGAGGAAGACTAACTGTGAGCAGTGCATTCTTTAGATAATAGAGGAAGGCTAACAGTGAGCAGGGCCTTCATTGGATAATGGAGGAGGCTAGCTGTGAGCAGTGCATTCATTGGATAAATGGAGGAAAGCTAACAGCACAGCAACATCCAAGAAGCATCTGACTGATGGCAATACCACAAGAGGAGGTACATTGACAGAAGAGCAGTTAGATTTCTTCTGAGAGAAATGGTGCACTCTACATTGGAGATAGATTTTACACTCAGTGACAAATGAGTAGTTAGATGGCATCTTCATTTTTCTCTACTTTGTTGTCTGTTTAGACGCAATGATTTGAAATGGTGAAATCATGACCACTATGCTAAATATGCTCCCCACTGCTTTACAAACAATATTTCAGGGTCAGCAAGATGGCTCAGTCAGGAAGGGCTCCTGCCACCAAGCCTCATGACCTGAATTAGATCTCAGGACTCATTTGGTGGAAGGAGATAATTGGCATTATCAGGTTGTCTTCTAATCTCCACTGTGGACTATGGCATGTATGCAGTTCCACACACACCCAGAGCACAAGGACTCAAAATAAATGAAATACATTGAAACAAAACATTTAGTTTATTCAATATAAGTCATAGTAAATATTAAAGACCACCTTACTATCTGAGACATATAAACTTATCTCATAATTGTATCTCATAAATATTATCTCAATATGACATATCATATAGACAGTACCATCTCCATAGAACCACGGGTAAATACCTATGGTCAGGAAACTTAAAAATAAATAGGATAGTTAGTATAATGGTGTTTAACTGAGTTTAAAACCTATAATCAGCGCATCAGAATAGATTTAGATGATTTCATGTTTTATTATCAACATTTCACAGTTGTTAAGCAAGAGGGAAATTCTGAATGAAAGTTTTATCTTTCTTGTGTTTGGCGCTTTGACCCTTTTTAAAATGGATGGTTATTAAAATGCAAGGCAGTCTAGTTCTGTAATTAAAGCTAAACTAGAAGATACATAAAATTCTAATAATTTAAACAGGTGGCATTCACATAAAATTTAAAGATTTAATTAATATGATATTTGCAGCAAATTGATAATATAGAAGTTATATTTCCTCAGGACATATATATTCAAAATTATTTTTCATTAGGATACACAAAATTGAATACACCATTACTTTCTTCTTAATCCTAGTAAACCAGTTTTGTAATTCTCAACCTACATCACAAAATAGTCTAATAACTAAAAGTTAAGACAGTTAATTTCCAATTTTAATGTAGCAACCCAGCTATGCTACTTATCTACATCTATAGATCAAAAGGAATGTAGAAAAGGGAAAAATACTTTCACGGGCTTTTATTGAGTCACTCACTAGAAATTTTAATATTGACAGCAAACATTTCCCAAGTTTAGAAAAGTCCATTGACAGTACTGATGAATTCTCTCTGCAGATCCCACTTAAAGCACATTGCCTGAAGCCTATTGAAAGAGACCCTTGCACTTTTACTATACCCAATTCTACTTTAGTATGAAATGCACACTACCTGTTCTTCAATAGAAAAAAGGGGAAACCTCAAAACAGGCAATTTTTATCCTTTATTTCAAGTTGCCTGGTTTTTTAACTGTTTTGTTTGGGGACTCCCAGCTGAGCTATGAGGACTTCATTCCAGACTGCTTTGGCGGCATACACTTTCTTTGTTCATGACTTTCTTAGAGATACACCTGCTAAGGATATCCATATTTTTATTCACTTTAATCTTTCAAAACCCTAGAGTGGAATGCAATGCAGTGG